GGTTAAGTATATATTTAGAATATTTTTTTAATATGAAATTACTAGTATTGTATATATCTGTTATCTTCCAGTATTTTACTAAAATCTTTTTAAAAGTTCTTGAAACTACCTTAGAAATTACTGGTTTTGGGTTCTCTTCATTGATTGCTATATCAATGACTATCTATTATTTGGTTCTGTTATCTAAGAATAGTTTTGCTAAATAAGCTTTTAAAGCTTAGCTATTATTATCTTCTGTTTTGTATTAGATCTTTACTTGTTTGCCTTGTGAGTTCACTAGTATTAATTTTTGAACTTTTAAACTATTTTACTACTTTGCTCTTGCTTGTTCTCTTTCTAAAAAACTTAAATTGTTGCTATATTAATATTTGGTCTCTACTTTAGATTAGTAATTGACCAATATATACCAACTCTAGTTTTTTTAAATAATAGACAACTGCTAGTGTAAATAATAATTCTAAGATACTACAAAACTTTCAGTTTTGGTTATACTTCAGTAAATTTGGCAAGCTAAACTTGAAGATGAGGTTTAGATCTTTTGTTCTCAATATTATTAGGCAAGCTAAGTTATTTTTTCAAATTCTAGAATATGCTTCTAAAATTTCTTTGTGCTAATTGTTTTCTGAAGCATTAACAAGAGATAAACCTTTTTCAATCTTCAATTTAGTTAAAATTTTTTCTGGTTCTGTTGAGTTAAATCGATTATTTAAACTTGTAATTTGTTTAAATAGAAGTTGGTTTTATAGAAATTTGTATTTACTTATGCTTCTGTGGTATATCATACTATTTCTTGCTAATACTATAATTTTGATCTTGTTTTTTGCAAGTCTGATTATTAGATTATATATATTATCAATCATCTTTTTATTCATTTTTGTTGTTTATAATATATAATATAACTTAAAACTTATGCATATATTGTTTATATAGGATACTTGACTAATTGTTATTTCTTTATAAAAAAGACTTCTAGTTGTTGATTGTATGATTTTTTTTGCTTTAGACTTGATTGCTACTTCTTTTATTTTGCTATTCAACCAAATTTCTAAAAATCTTAGAATTTTTATTCTCTTTTCTTTCTAAATCTATTTATTTTCAAAGAAGATCTTCTTTATTTTATTGTTGTTTCCTGAATTTATCATGATTAATTTTATTTTCTTTCTGTTAATTTGAATATCATTTATTCTAAAGAATTTGTTTGTGATTATAAGTATTTCTTCTATTTGTTCTTTGCTTTTTGCAATTCATATTGTATTGTCTACAAATACAACTACTACTTGTCTCTATGAATTTTTAATTGTATAATTTAGACTCAGCTTTTGTAGTCTATTATGTAGTCTAAACTAGAATCACCTTGAATTCTTTTGAAAAGAGGGTTGTAAAATATTCTTCAAATTAGAGAAGAAATTACTTCATTTTATTTGATCTTCTCTTGAATCTCTAAGAAGTTTGTTGGGTCTAGATTTGTGATAATTCTGAATTGTTAGTTTACAAAGAGATTTAATAGAAACTTGATTATAACTTCAGACAAATTGATTCTTTTTAATACTTTTTATAGAGCTTTGAGTGATACTAAATAAAATACCTTTTTTATATTCTAAAATATGATCTATAGCTCCTTTTTGCTGTCTTTTGTATTCTCTATAATTGTATTAAGAATATGTATTGGTTTCTTCATAGAGTTGTCTAGAAAATCTGTAAAGTTAGTTCTTTTTAGTATGTCTTTTTCATTAGAATTTTTGCAAGTCTTTTTGTAAGTATCTTGGTTGTATATTTACAAAAAAATTTTAATAATACAATTGGTTTAATATTGTTTAAATTATAGTGCTAGTCTTCTTTCTTCAATATTAGGTATATCTGAGATAACTTCTATTTTTTCAGAATTTTGTCTATTCTTATATATATATTTCTACTGATCTAAATACTCTTTGGGCTTGCTCATTTACTGCTTTAATTAGTATATATATAATACCTAAAATATCTAATGCTGTATTTTTCTTTAGGTTTATTAGTATTTCTATCTATTCTTCTTTTAAAATATCTTTATTTAAATTGCTATATTATATATCTTGTATTTTCTCTTTTGGATTGTATATTCTAGACCAATTTTTATCTAAAGTATTTTTTTGAAAATTTCTTAGTCTAAATTGGTTTTTAAAATATTTATATGTTTTTTCTAATACTCTGTTTGGAGAAATCTTCTTCTTTGAGTAGTTTGTCAATCTTGATTTTTTTACTTAGTTTGTTAAGGAGTGTGCTATTTATCATATAATTTTTAATATAGATACATAGGTCAGATAGATAATTATATATATATATATATAATATAGTATATAATCAAATATAATAAGAATATATTTATTTACCGCAAGATGTAATATATATTATATACTATCCTTATATATATTACGTGATATTATATTAAATTTAAACTATAGTATAACTAACAAAAATCATAACACATAATGATTGACATCAAACTAAACTACCCCAACTCAAAAATTGGCATAGAAAACCACTTTTATAATACCCTAATCATCTCAAAAAAAAGTGTTGGACAAATGAGATTCTACTCAAACCATATAATGATCTGTATAATCAAACCAATTGGTGTTGACTACGATACAGTATATTAAATTCTATGTTTTAGCTGTTTTTCATCTTTTTTATATATATTTTAGCTGCTTTTCTTGCACGATAATAACTAGTTTCTTTAAATTTTAATTTAGATCAATACAGTTTCAATCAACAAATAAATTTCTTTTATTTAATATATTTTTTTTTAATACAAAAAAAAAAACTTTTTTTTAATACAAAATGCTAATTACTAATTAATATTTTAAGTTATAATAAACAGTAACAGCAAATGTATAATCAAGACAACTGTTCGAAACTGGCATAACCAAAAAGCAAGCTTTTGGTTACTTGATTTTTGAATGCCTTGCTGTTTATGAGCTTGCAAGGCTTCTTTGTACTCACTAACCGTTTTCACAAATGGTCCTACTAAGATATTAAAATTTTTTATAAAGTTATCATTATCTATCTCTCTTGTATATAATTCTAATGCTTTCTCAATTTTTTTTTATATTGGGCATATTTTTCTTGTCTTTCTTTTATTTTATTTTCTGATACGCCTATTAATATATTTTGTGAATAAGAATTTTCAATAACAGGATCGATAACGGAATTGATAATGGGATTGATAATAGAATCATTAACATCAAAATTCATCTCAGTAATAGTTGTATTCACTAGTCTCATAGGCTATTTCTATAGAATATCACTAGAGGCTTATCAATACCAAAGACAAATAATGGATAATCATACCATCTTGTCATTTCACTAAAGGTAGACCAAAAATCTTTTTCTTTCTTTGCAACTAAATGCTTGCAAAGAAGATAATAACTATTGGCATATGCCGGGCAAGAACATACCTAATTATTCACATCTATATAATATTTTTTATCCATATTAGGTATGATTTCTATTGATAATGCCTTGGTCCAATCTTTTTTGAATACTTGCTACCAGGATGGAAAGTATCGATTTGTATTATACTATGCAAACTTGAAATCGAAGTCAGGCACTAGTTGTTTAGCAATAATATTGGTAAGATGGTCAAGCCAAGGCCTATTATAATTGTATTTATAATTATACTTAAGTACTCACCAGTAGCTCTCTATAATCATAGTAGTTCAAGTCAAAGGCATTGCTAATAAATAGACAAAATAGGCAAATATTTTCTAATCTTTAGCATTATACCAATTTGCTTAAAGATATGTTCATAATCTACAAATTTGATGATTATAACAAAAAAGGTAGATTTCTTTTATACAAAAATAATAGATTTCATCTGAACTCCAAAAAGTATTCTTTTCTATTAGGATTAACAGATGTATATTTGTATGATGCTTAATCATATTTATAATTTTTTTAGATTCTTTTTCTAAACATAAACCTCTAATACTACTGGCAGGAATCCATAACAGGTTGATAAAATCAAATTGTTTATGAGCTTCCAATGCTTTTTCCTTCGAGTAAGTATTTGATTATAGCTTTTTATCTTTTAGATGTTTGCTAATAGCATTTTCTAAATGCCAATAGTATAGTTGAATATTCATTGTCCACAACCAAGCTTCATTAACAGCTAAAATTTCATTTGTGTCTTTGTCTGATAGAACAAATGAGAGTAATAACCCTTCATAGCGAAAATTTTCAAAAAATTTTTGAAAAACTTGAACACAAGTAGTTATCCCACCACTTGGATATTGATAAATTGTCTTTAGACTATCAGATATTAGTAAGTATAAATATGCTAGTAGCATACCATATCCACCACAGTTAGCATTTACAACGAAAAGCTCGAAACATTCCTGATTTGTCTTAAATGTAGAATCTATTACAATTTCATTTATATTTTTTATACCGATTCTATTAAATAGTGAAGTAACAAATCTCAAAGCCTGCACGAAATCATTATCAAAATAAGTGAAAATTTTGAATTCTCTAGATGTAAGTTCAGGCTGTTTAAGGTATATTTTAGATAATAAAAGTTGATTACTATGGTTTGTTAAATATATTTGCTTGCTATAAACTAACGCTCAATAATATACTTGTTCTTTTGTATATACTGGAAGAATTAGTTTATTTTTAATAAAATGTCGGTATAATATTGAGATTGGCAGGTTATAATTTTGATATTCCTGGATCCATTTTTTTGCCTCTTTCAGAAATACTATTTGTCAATATAATAGATGCTCGTGCGAGCACAAATGTTCACCACGTATGCTTGCACATTATAATTGTGTATTAATATTAACTATAATTTTACTTTTACAGAGAAATCGTTGAATTGCAGAACAGGCTTTACTTTTTCTTTTGATCTCTTGGTTTTCTGGTCTTTGCTAACCTTGGTCTTTGTGTGATGCACACTCAAGATATGCTGTGGCATATCCTGTAAATTCTTTTTGTTTAAAATTTAAAACTAATTTTTCCAAATTTTAATAATATCTAGATCCAGATTCCAACAGTAAAATAAGAATTTTGATAAGTTGTGCAAAGCTATCTTTGGTTTTTTCCAAGTTTAATGGGCCGGTTTCAAGCTCCTGATCAATTTTAATTACATCTAAAAGCTTAGAATCTAATTCAACCTCTAATGCAAACTTTGTGAACTCTCCAAGTAACTTAGCATATTGAAATTGTGTAGTGATAAACCTTTCTACTTTGTCTATGCAATATAAAAGTATATTCTCATTATCATATTCATCGCTACTATCATACACTTCTATTATTTGCAGATTCATAGTCAAAGATGCTAGTTTCTAATGCTAGTTCAAGATCGTTATGGTCTTCAAGGATGTTATCAATTTGAAGAAAATCTGTAGCTTTATTAATCTTGAAAATTGAAGTACTAATAGTTGGAACTACAACTTCAAGATCAGTAGCAATTTTAGATTTTTTTTTTAGATTTGCTTTCTGTCTTTTTTTAGCATGTCTTTCAGAGCACATATTACAAGTCATATGCTCATATTGTGGATTATTATTACGAAGTCAGCAGAAGTCTTGTTTATTTTTAAACATATAACAGCTATCACATTTTTTATTTTTATTAGCGGGACAAGATGAACTGCTTTCACTCATTTTTATTTATATATAAGTAATTTTTTTATATTAGTTTTAAAAAAGATGAATTTATATTTGAAGAAATGGTCTAAATTATAATTTAATTGAATTATATAATTCTTAGAGATTACGCATGTTGGGTATATATAGTTTATAGATTAAACACGATATGTACTGATTTTATAGTCTATTAAATAAACATTTGAGATGTCAAATTTAAATAAATATAATAATTTTAAGACAATTTTTAAATAATATTTGATTTGAAGTTAAATCGAATTTTTAAATCTTTAAGACTAAAAGCACAGTTTAAATACATTTTTAATTCTTTAAATTTTTATTCTTATTGCAATTTAAAATTTCCTTTTAATTATAACAATCTTTATTTTTTTATTGTACTTTACAAATCATAATCTTGTGATTTTAATTTTACAAATATATCTTTTGCACAACCTGATAGGCTTTGAATACATAAATTTTAAATATATGCAAGACTAATTCAGATATAACAAAAGAACTATATTAAATTTCCTTTTTTAAAGGGTGTGGCGACATAGTGCAGTTGGCAAGTTGTCACCCCCCCCAAATGGCAGGTCTAGGGTTCAAATCCCACTGG